CAGTTGCTCCAGGGTGGAATACGTGCGGCCATGCAGGTAGGGCCGGAATCTCGGGTGGCTCTGCTGCATCACCCGAGCAACCCTGTCCGACTCCGACGTCGTTGGGCAGGCTCTCTCATAGAGCTCCTGCATCACCCGTACATATTCGACGAGGGTCTCGTCCGGGTGCTGAGTCCGGCGCTCCAGTTCTCGCTGGACTTGAGACTGGTACCCAGGTGGAGGAATTCATCTTGAAACTTCCGCCGAAAGTCTTCCCAGGTGAGGAAGGGGGCCACGATGCGCCACCAGCGCGCGGCGCTCGCCTGGAACGCCACGGGCAGAACCCGCGCGAGGACGTACTCATCCGAGGCTCCCGTGGCGAGCTCATAGGCCGCTAGCTCGGCCAGGAAGTCGGCCACGGACTTCCGGTCGTCGTAGCCCGTGTACAACGGAACCGGCACCTCGGGCCGTGAACGTTGCCCTTGGGGTCCGTGGTCAGCCAGGACCAGGCGTTGCGCGACCGTGTCGCAGAGGTTGGCCACCCTAGCCATCAGGTCCAGGGATGTCGGGTCAGGCCCCTCTCCGGTCTCGCCTTGGTCTGCGGCGCTTCTTTGGCGGGTCTGCATCGCAGTAGCAACCACAGAAAAACAGCCAAACAGAAAAAAAAGACCAGAACGAAACACAAAAGGACGGAAAAACACTTAATATACTACAGTATGCACAATATACACAATGTCCAAGCCGCGATGGCAAAGATGCCGTCCGGTGGCCGAGGCCTAGTCGAACGACCACGTAGGCCTATCGGGGATGGCAAAAGCAAGAAAAACCAGGCTAACACGCCTATAGCGGGCTAAAAGCTTGCGGTCCAACCCGCGGGGTAGCAGTAGGCCTCGCGTGGAGCGCCAAATAATGTAGGGTTCGGTGCTACTGCTGTGAAAAATAACAAATGTTCACACATTTCACGCGATTTCGGCTCAAACAGAGGACATACAACCAAAATATTACATTTGTAGACTGTTTTTTCTTGTAGTCGACTAATATGTCTAAAAAGATTTAAAAAATAAAAATTTACAAAAATGGGTTTTTTGAGAAAATCGATCTCAAACTTTCAACATTTGTTATTTCTTACAACGTTTACGTGATGGTAGCGGAGCGGCTAGTCGACAGATCATAATGATATTATTATATCTATAATGGGCTTGCTTTGGGGTTTCTGTAGAGCCAAAGAAAGAAAATTTACCTTAAGTACAGACAAAGTAATGACCTGTTAAATTTAACCGAAAACCGACCGGAGTGACGAGTTTGACCTGTGTTTCAGAAAACCGTCAAATTCCTAAAAATATTTGAATACATCAAGGTATTTTTATAATACCTATTAAATGATGCGGAAAAGTTAGAAGGGTGTAGAGAATACAATAACGTCAGCAGAAGGTGTCAAACACGCGACCTGCGACGGCAGGCAAAAACACTAGTTTCTGCCACTGCAGATTCTACGGCTCGTAACTCGAGAACAAAAAATCGGGAAAACATGCGGTTTGCGCCCTCCTTCATTTGTGAAATACCCCCAAAACATATATTTTTTTCGTGAAAATTAAAAATTAGACACTTTTAACCTGCCCGATTTGAGATGAAATCACCCAGATATATATATATATATATATATATATATATATATATATATATATATATATATATATATATATATATATATATATATATATATATATATATATATATAAATTTTTTTAACGACTTTCGTTTGCCGAGTTTAAGGTAGGTGCGTTTGGAATTCGAATTTTGTAAGGCAGGCTAAATGTGCCGATCCTTACGGCCGCAACGCCGCACCCTGTACTTTCGATAATTTCGAACTTGGTTTGAACTTCGAATCCAGTCGGAAATCAGAGCTTGTTCTACGTAATTTAAGCCACCACAATCTACGTCTTGGTTCGCTCGTATGTCGCGCCGCCCGTGTGCAGCTTCAGGCAGCGGCGGACACAGGGCGAAGAAGACTGCTGCGGACAGCCTGTGGTCCGAGCCCACCCTGAGCAGCCGAACTGGATGCGCAGCAGCCAGCATGCAAGTCGTTTGTTTCGGAAGACGTTTGCGCCATCTATGAGGTAAAGGCTACAAATAAATCGCGGGTGATTACCCCTGGTGCCACGATGATGATTGAGTTGTGTAGATTTATACACCGGGTAGTTGGTCAGCCATTTCAAAGTTGCGACGAGTCACTCCCTGTAGATGAGCAATTTAGCCAGTGCAGAACAACCGCTAGCCTGGGGTCACCCCCTGAATAAACACTGCAAGATGCAGGAAAAAGAATACTGATGGCAATCACGATGTAGGTCTTGACAATCAGCTGGCCTCCACTGCTGCTGTGAATGTTGGCCTGCAAATGGGAGTGCGCAAGGTTAGCTGTAGTCTTCCAGAATTGAGGCCTTAAAGGTGCCCTAAAGACGTATCTCAAATTGTTTGTTCTTGGTGATAAATTATCTTACGGGGTCCAACCATCCAGGAAATCCAAAAGTTATTCTTGTGCGACGTTTATTTCCCTACTAAAAATTTCGTTGGCTTAGCTCGGCTATGGCAGGATGTACGTAGCGTGAGCTTATGCGCACAAAATGAGAGGCGCTATCAAGCGGTTCCGGTGCAGCTTCAGACTTGGTTACTGTGCGACGGTGGTGCACAGCTGGGCACACGGCGGCGCCAGTGCGTCTGCCGCGGCTATGACGTCACTCCTCTGGACTACGAAGGCTGGCGAGGGGCGCGCGGCGGCGGTGGAGTGCGCGGCGGCGGCGGCTCTGGCGCGCCAGCTGTGCGCCGTGTGACGTCACTGCTCCTCGCGCCTGCGCAGCACGGCTCTTTCGGAACCACGCGAAACTGCTCAACTTTGGCCAGTGTAGCTCACGCTACAAAATGTGAAAGAAGTTAGTGGAAGTTTGTGCGACGCCCCTTTCTGATCGTAAGCATCTGGAACACAAAATCTAGCGGAGGCGTCGGCGGCGTCTCCTCTACCGGTGCCTCCGCTTGCGACTGGCGGACGCGCGCCCATCGTCCCGCCGCCAACGCTTCCACTGAATTCTGCGTTCCCGATTTTTCCCCTCAGAAAGGGCCTTGGCACAAACTTCTATCACATTTGTAGTAGGGAAATAGACGTCGCACGAGCATAATTTTTCGATTTCTGGAGTGCTAAAATCCTGTAGAATAAGTTATCACCAAGAACAGACGATATCAGAAACGTCTTTCGCGCACCTTTAACATGCGCATTAAATTTTCGAAGCTCGGAGCACCCCAACCCGATGGGAAATGGATGATGCGATTTCCAAGAGTGGAAATAGCATCATGTTGTTGCAAGTCTGAGAGCAGCAATGGTGTCCCCTTCGAGCAGTAAGATTTCAGCTTTGTAGCGGGTCAGGAGCCACAAAAGTAGTGTTTTGCAGCAGCACAAGTAAGTCTGGGAGCTGGTCCCCCGATTCAAACTTATGGCTCATTGGTAATGAATGTCCCGGAATACTTCTATCCACAACTTACTGAAAGTACACAAATCTTTCCATCGCCCCCCCTTTAAAGAGAAAGGTGTCTATACTGAAGTCTATCTGGTTCCACCTCACGTCGGCGTCAGAAGAAGGACTGCCCCCAAAGCAGCGCGTTGCCTGTTTTTATGCACGCACTACATTCAAGAACAGCGCGAATCAGAACACGCGAGTACAGCCGCGAATGGATTGAACTTTTTAGAACAGCAAAGATTAAGAAGAAAAAAAAAATCCGGTCCAAGTGGGCTCGAAATCATTTGGTCCTCGTGGCAGCAGCGTTCGTTCCCAACATCGCCGCGGAAGCGGCAGTCAACTGGTTTGTTTGTCAGTTTAATATTGAAGGATCATATTATTTTTGGATTACGCGTGTAATGACAAGGCAGTTAAATACCGCAAGTATTTGTTGAATTCATTTTTAGTTACACACATGTTTTTTTTTTTTTTTGCGTGCTCTAGACCAGTTTGTTTTGTGTTGTTTTGTTTCCCGTTTAGCTGCTGATTTCCGTGCCTAGACCATCAACTCTCGTACTGCTCTGAACCCTATGCCGCATAGGAAGCAATGCGTTCTGATTCTGTCTCCATAGGTTTAAAGGCCGGTGAGACGCGCTTAAATAAAAAAAAAAAAAAACACGCAGCAATTTATCTGCCGCGGTTATTGTTCCTTTAGTTCAATTTCAAAACGCAGAAATTCTGACCACTTAGCTTGCAAATGTAATAAACACCATAGTATATCTTAAAAAGGTTTCCTCCCAGCCCTTTTAACGACGTCATAAAACAAGCGAGGCAAGCAAGTGGAGGACCAAAAAAAGGCTCCGGGAAACTAAATGACAGCATTCGAACGCGGATCACAATAATATGAATATGAAATCATTTGTCTTGGGGCTTGATGGTTGCACATACTTATTTTTACAAATTCCACGTATCGTTAGATACAAAAAAAAAATTAAAACAGCAATTCTATTGCCGTGGTTATTGTTCTTGGAGTTAAATTAGGAATCGCAGAAATTCTGACCGCTCAACTTGTAAAAGTAATCAACACAAATGTACATCTTAAAAATGTTTCCTCTCAGACCTTTTAACGATGTCACGAAACAAGTGAGGCAAGCAAGTGCAGAACCTGACAAAAGCAACAGAAAACTAAATTTCCGCATTCGAATACGGATCACAATCATATGAAAATAAAATTAGTATTCTTGGCGCTTGAATGTTGCGCATATTTATTATTACGGATTCCGCGTCTCCATGACTGACGAACAACTTACAGGGAGCTATAAAATATACATGAATGTGTATTGTTTCATAGGCTAAATATTCCGAAGGTTTCCACCATCGAAGAAGCCCATTGTTCATGAATGAATAAGTACACACAATAAGGAACGTGGGAAAACAGGCGAAAGTCCAGTTTTGAGGATGCTTGCGGAAAAAGTTTTCCTCGTCTTGTTCGTTCTGCTAGCGGGAAATAGGAGATGCCATGCTGAAGATAGCGACATGAAGCTCGCCCGTGCCCAGAACCTTTTTTCCCTCCAGCTTCTCAAAGAACTCTCCAGCGAAAAGCCAGAATCGAACATCTTCTTCTCGCCGACCAGCATCTCTGTCGCACTCGCCATGGTCTACGCCGGCGCCAGGGGCAAGTCTGAAACGGAAATTTCCACTGCTCTCGGCCACACCGCAGCGGGACTGTCCAGCAGAGAATCTATCCTGGAGTCTTACAAAAAGATTCTAGCAGAACAGCAGACTGATGACAATGTAAGTTTGATGATAGCCAATGCAGTGTTTGTAAAGAAAACACTGAACGTCCTCGAAAGTTAGCAGAAAGAGCCCGTTGACATCTTTGCGGCGATGTTCCGGCCGGTGGATGTTGGCGCAGGAAATTCTTCCATGGAATTGGAGGTTAACGAGTGGCTGAAGAACAAGACCAGAGGCAAGATTTCGGGCTTCAAAATTCCCCCAAACACCATAATGGCGCTTCTTAATGACATTTACTTCTAGGGGCTATGGAACGCCTCTTTCGATCCCAACGATACCTGCATTCTTTCTTTTCATAACAAAGGATTTGAGGTGGTTATGGTAGAAACCATGACGCGATTGGCTAAGGTACCGTTCACCTCTGAACCCGAGTTTGAAGCCATAGAACTATCTTACAAAGGGGACCAACACTGCATGGTAATCATACTTCCAAGTGAAAAAAAGGAACTTCCCAAACTCCGCGACGCCATGACTATCGAGAGCATAAAACAAATCCAGAAAAGTTTGAAAGATGAGACTGTCAAGATTCAACTTCCCAAGTTCGACTTGAAAACAGAGTACGGCCTCGTCCCTGCCGTGAAGAAGATGGGTGTGCGTTCAGTCTTCTCTGACGCCGATCTGTCAAGAGTCACTGGTGATGGAGTGCTGAGAGTAACCGAAGTCCACCACAAGGCAGCCATTGAGGTCAACGAAGAAGGAACGGTTGCCGCCGGCGCAACAGTAGTGGTAATAGAAAAACGTGCTCCACATTCCTTTGCCCTGGATAGACCTTTCCTCTTTTACATCCGCGAGAAAGCTACCGGCCGTATGCTATTTTTGGGAGAAGTGCACGCACTCCCAGCCGCTAAGCCCACCCTTGGTTAGTGCAGTTCTGACCCAACAGATGGCGATGGAGTCGCCTTCCAGATCCATGCACGAATGCAATAAATTGTGCGTGGTTGCACTTCGATACAGTGTGGTATCTTTCTTTACTTTTCTCTTGAAATTGACATCCCTGGCCGTTCACTTATTTTTGATGGACAAGCTTTCTGGGGAGCGCGGCCCCGCTGCACCTATCCTCGTGCAAAGGAGCAGCTGCCTACGCTCTCAGCTCGCATCTCCGGGATATGTGGTCCGAACAAAACGTGAAAATCGTCCTGATCTAATGGCGACTCCTTTAATCCTAGTCCTCTAGTCCCCTAAACCACAGCGCAGCAGCTGTGGTCAACTTGCAGCCTCGCGCTTGTTGTATTCCCATCTCAGGATCGCTCACTGCGGGCATTCAGACATCTAACATTCAAGTAAAGTAGAAGTTTGGGCTAGTTGGTATCTCATGATTAAAGATTAAAACAGCGCAAGGACACGGACAAGAACAAGAAGGTAGACAAACAAGGCGCTGTTTTAATCATTGACATGTGTTCAGCGCCTTGTTTGTCTACCTTCTTGTTCTTGTCCGTGTCCTTGAGCTGTTTTAATCTTTAATCATATAACATTCACACGTCTGGTGCCATTTCTGTTTCTTGCCTGGTGTTCCAAGCGGCACATGATGACAAGTGCAAAACAGGCTGCTGAACACATGTCGCCATTTGTGTCTGATATTAGGAAACTGCAACCAGCCATAACTGAATAGAAAACGTTTGCGATTGAATACTGAAATTCACGTCTAACCTATTGATATCCAGTTTCTGAAAAATGTAAAACCAGAAGATGCTTCATACTTTAATGTCTCATTATTTTCGTTAGCTCACCTGATTCCGTTTTATTGCACGAGAGAATTACCCTAATTTAAAATGTGTTTTTTATTTAAAAAATGTACATTTTGTGTACAGCTTATTGCTTACCAATTTAATTCACTATATTCAATTCACCGCTGGCATAAATTATCCTCGACATTCGGACGTTATAAGTAGAGAAGACAATTTTTCAATAGCATAAACAGCGGTCTATTGAAAGTTAAATAATAAACTAACAACTAAAAATAAATGTAATATCGAGACACCAGAGCATCGTTAAGAAATAGTTATTTAATTTCAAATTAACTTCATGACTGTGGAATACGTGAAAAGAAAGTTATAAAATCTATAATGAAGCCGAACGGTATGCATGGTGAGGTTGCACGTAAACAAAAAAGCTCCTCGGTCGTGAGTGGTCTCTGCTACTCCGTTGTGCGTGGGCTTACGAAAATATTTGATATAACAGCATCATGTTGTTCAGCAATAGTAGAAGAAATTCGCTACGTTAAAGCGCCACTCCCTCAATTCGGACAATTTCGGGATACTGAGTGATTTCAAATTAAAAGGTACTAACAAAAGGCGCACTACATCATTTACTTCGCCAAAAATGGGATATATATCGTTGAACCTTACATGGCAAATCAGCAGAAATCTAAACCGAAACTTCGGCTCCGTTTGGCAACCTTCGCCTCGAGCCGCCAAGACCATGGCTATCACGTGGAACGAGATGCCACGTGATCCTTTATACAACGACGGGTGGGATTAGGGCGCTCGGGTGCCAGGCGCAAGTGTTTTATGCACCGCACCCTTCACAATATTTTGGCGTCTGCGACATTCGACGACGTCTGCACAACTGCGGCATCAGTCTGGGCACGTAATGGGAACGAAATTCCCAGAGACAATAGAGAGTTTTAGTAATATGTATAGGGGCAAACGCCAACCCTCTACGTTAGCGTTAACGTTGCGTCGACGGAACGTTACGGAGCGCGTCGAATACGCACTGGTTTTAGTACAGCGGAAGAAGAATGCATACGTAAAGACTTGTAGTGCCATCTAGATGTGCTCCTGTAAACTGCTTCAAACAATCCAAGGCGGGTATTCGGTCAAGCCAATACAAAGCCCTGATTCTCCTCGCTTTGTTACGGAAGTGCGTGTTTCCGTGTGCCTGTTGTGTACGTGTTTTTTTTTTCTGTTTTTTTTTTTTGTGCCGACCGCACGGTAAACACTTTTTTTGGGTTCGACGGCGTTGCCAACGTTCTTGGGTATCGATACCCATCTTTGTGGGTGCTTCTTTGAGGAGGTTGATGTCATCTTCAATAGTAAAGCGAACCCATACAATGCGCGAAGCACTTCCGCTGGTTTGCCTCACCGCCGCCATTTTTCAAACTGGACTAGTCTCGCGCTCTCGCGTGCGTGACGAGAGCAACGAGATAGCACGCGGGGGACCGCTACGTACGTTCGCAAAAATCGATAGCGAGCGTACGTACGCAAGGCTCGCCGCAGCACGTACGTATGGTGCATGCGCAGTGTAGAGGACGCAACGTTAACGTTAACGTGTGGGGTCTGCGTTTGCTCCTATGCGTATTACTAAAACTCTCTAATAATCCCAAACTGTGAGAGAAAAGTAACAGCGGGACGGCCGGACGGCTCCCAAGAAGCGCGCCCCACAGGGGCGTTCCGCCAATCACGTAGCCCTGCCGCTGAGCGCTGAGAGGGAGCTCTGCTGACGTCACCTTTTACGATTGCACAGAAAAGTAAAAATAAACACAAATAGGCAATGGTGATGGCGTTTAGCTCAATGCTGGCTACGCCCACGTTGTAGGCATGACTGCGCTGTTGGTTGCGCCTCAATTCGGCCGCTAGAGTAAGCAGATTTCGGCAACTCGGCGCGTTGCAAAGCTTCCCTGAACGTATAAGTTTTAATTATTTAAAGAACCATGAACCAACTGGCCCAACATTCCACTTTGCTGCAATTTATTTCTTTTACAACGGGCTCATTTATTTGTTCCCCCACCCATCATCAGTCGGTGTATCCCTTAACCTAATTGCTGTGTCGCGCTGCCGGGTTAGGACCTATACGTATGCCATTCGACGAGGATGCTTCCCACAGGACGTTATTGCGTTATTTCATATGCGCCATGTGTCGTTCCACTTCTTTGTCCTTGTCTTTTTCGGTGCTTTTAATTCTTTAAAGAACCATGAACCAACTGGCCCAACTTTCCACTTTGCTGCAATTTATTTCTTTTACAACGGGCTCTTGTATTTGTTCCCCCACCCATCATCAGTCGATGTATCCCTTAATCAACCTAACTGCTGTGTCGTGCTGCCGGGCTAGGATCTATACGTATGCCATTCGACGTGAATGCTTCCCACAGGACGTTATTGCGCTATTTCAAATGCACCTTGTGTCGTTCCACTTCATTGTCCTTGTCTTTTTCGGCGCTTTTAATTTTTTAAAGAACTATGAACCAACTGGCCCAACTTTCCACTTTGCCGCAATTTATTTCTTTTACAACGGGCTCTTTTATTTGTTCCCCCACCCATCATCAGTCGATGTATCCCTTAATCAACCTAATTGCTGTGTCGTGCTGCCGGGCTAGGATCCATACGTATATGCCATTCGACGTGGGTGCTTCCCACAGGACGTTATTGCGTTATCTCAAATGCGCTTTTTTTTTAATAACGGAAGTAAAAGCAAAGAGGTTAGCCCTAAACTTCCGGGGCTGGCTACTTTGCTTTGGTAGAAGGAAGAATGGGGGAGAGAGAGTTTTAGTTCTGGAGGGAGCACTCAATGAAGCACGACTTTGGATGTTGATCTTGATGGCGCACAGCACTGGAGAGTTATTCACTCAGCACAGTTGAGTTTAGTGTAATACAGTCATGGCAGTCTACGTTAAATCACTTGTCGCGTATTGAAAGTTATGAACACGAAAGTATATTTACAATGGAAAGAGTATTATATAAGATCAATGAGCCCTGCATTTTGAAGAAATATTTCCAATGCAGCTATAGCCTTTTGCTGAAGACGCGGAGGGTCCCACGAACCCAAGACCCTCTCTAAGCTAAAGGGCTTGCTGTCTAATTCTTAAATATTATTTATCAATATCTGCCTGTCTTCGTCGAAAAGCTCACATTCATAAAAGATATGACAGTTGTCTTCAGGCATGTCGCTATGCTGACAGTTAGGGCTGGTGACAAGACCGAATTTGTGCCTTTCAATGTTTGTGTATGTGGCATTCAGGCGCAGGCGATGTAGAAGTGTTTCAAAATGTCTTGGCAAATTACATAGAAGTGCGTTGTGGAGAAAAGGATCAATCGCATATAGCGGTTTGTAATGATATGCCGGTGATTGCCATAATTGTTGGAATTCCTGCTTTCCAAGTTGTCGAATAAGGGCTCGAGCGTCGGTTTTGGTAAATAATACCCCTGTCAGACGGCAGCTAAAATGGCATTTACACCAAATGACATTCAGTGTAAATGTCATTTAGGCACTGCCACACGGCAACTCAAATGGCATTTAACCTAAATGCCATTTCGGGTAAACAGAGTTCCCCAAACTCATTTACGGCTCGCAAAGCGTACTCTCGATGGCAGCGCTCGACACATATTACGGGATTGTTTTAAAAAAATAAGGCATACATTACGGAAACAATTTTTACATCGTTTTAATTACGAAAATAATTTCTTTAACGCGTATTTCGCACGCACTTTACGTTCCTAATTTTTTAACCTACTCACGACTCCAGTTACCCAGTAGGCCTAATGGCTTTGAACCGCTGAACTTGTCGTGTGCTCGCCTCGGTCGGCTCTCGGTTCGTTGGTTCCACTTGCGATGCGCTCCTCATTTACGCGTTTTTACGATATCGGAAGGAGCGCCTGCAGACAAAAAAAGGCGGCCTGTCCCGCGAGACGTCGGTACTCAAACTATGCGAGACGAGCGCCTCGAATGGTCTTCGGTAGCAGAAGCGGAACGGCGGGTTCTGCACCGGCCTACGGGCGATTTGAGAAGCCCTCCGTTTCCTCAAGATATACGTCGCGCTCCATCACAATACCGAAACCTCAAGGAACATTTTTGGGTAAGATATAACTTTAACGGTGGGCATAGCCAACAGGAGCACGCAAAACAATTATCGGAGCGGACGGCCGCCTAGT